TCCTTACATATATATATATATACTCCCTCTTTAACTTAAAATTCGCATTGGACACAGTCAGTTTACACACGAATTTGCCTAAAACAGATGAAGGGTGGGAGATTCACAGTATCAAACAGTAAATGTGAAGGATATATTTTTCCGTGCGAGCAGGCATATATCATCCTTAACTACATGAAAGAAAGGGGTCTGTATCATAAGTTGGAAATATGTACCTGAAAAACTAATTGCTTCTTTTTTTAAATATGATGTGATGCTTTCATCAACGGAGATTGTTGAAGGCTGTGTTCAGGGCCCTGTTCCACAAAACGATCTTAGTGCTAAGTCGATCCCATACGTTGCCATAGACTTACTGCCATCGTGGCACTAGGGTCACTATGTGGAACGGGTCCCTGGAGGTTAAAGTACCGTGACATGATTGTCCCCTGTGTGGCACTTAATTCCCAACATCATATATGTAACTATCAATCAATGCCGTGAGCCAACTCATTGCTGAGTATTTTTAAATATTGGCTAGTATTGTGCACAAGCATCAGGTACTGCTGAGGTATCATGCAGGAGGTATCATGCAGGAGGCTGGGGTACCGGAAGTTCCCATGATCCCCAGTCAGTGAGTAAGTATAGTTTCACGCCGCTTTTAGCAATATTCCAGAAATATGACGGCGGGGGACACCAGAAATTGGCTTCACACATTGTACCCATGTGGGGAATCAAACCCGGGCCTTCGGCGTGATGATCGAACGCTTTAACCACTCGGCTACACCACCGCCACTTGATCTCCAGTGAGGTCGTTCGTGAATTAAAGGCCGTGTTTTAAACAGTTGCCAATAGTTGTGTTATGCCAAAATATGTTTCACAATTTTGTTTTAAAATATAATTTTGAGGTATTAATATCTCGTATATGGCAGAAATAATGTCGATGCGACGTTACAGTTTAACTCACACACTTTAACTCAATGCCCCGATGACGTACTTGGAAGGCTCATAAATTATCCGGATGGCAGTTTCAACAATTCAAAGGTACAAATTACGCTTATGAAGAACTGACGGATATACCGTTTTAGGGGGGTCCCTGCCATTTGCTGTTTATATGCTGTATATATGCTTACAACAAACTACAGTTATAACACAGGAACTCGTTATTGGTCAGTAAATAAAAATATATACCTCTATATGTAAATTCTCTACTTACATATAGGGGGTACATATAGGGTATATATTTTTATTTACTGACCAAGAACGAGTTCCTGTGAGTCATAACGAACAAAAATTAGTGGTCCCTTTGAGTTCGTTATGACCCTTAGTTAACTGTAAATTCTTAAGTCTGATGAATTATCTACCCATACCGTCCGAAAGCCTGGATTTCGACTTGAATTTACGACACATTTGATGTCAAACAACCCGGATGATGACGAGTTTCCGGGCATCTTTGGTTATTTTTGTTGTATTCAACATCAGACAACGAGTGCTGCTACGTACTGTCCCCGACAACACTGTAAAGGTCTCACTAATTCCACTATTCAATCAAACCCTTCAAACCCATATAAGCTCGTGCGGACCACGTTGCACTACTCCATCACTTTGACATGTCAAATCACGTGATCAGTACGTGACCAGTTGGTGTGTCGTCTGCGGTACCAGCTCCGTCACAAATGGCCGGATTAAGATTGTCACGAAAATGTCGATAATGTGTTTACATACCTTGTACAATTAAGTACCTTAAATAGTTTAAGTTGACTTACAAACTGGTATTTTTATTTCAAACTCCCGATGAAATTGAACAGAAGAAAAAAATAATTCGCGGCCAAATGAATCCTTTGTAACCACAACAACACTGTCTTTACTTCAAATAAGTGGTCCAGTGATTTTAGGCGCCACAATTACCTGTTCAGAGTTGTGTCAAAAACCACTGTCCCTACAACTATTAATACTGCAACTACTTCTGCCACAATCACCACCACCACCACTACTACTATTACAACCACTTCTACTACTACAACCACTACAACTACTAATAATACTAATACAACTACACCTTTACAACTTCTACTGTGATGACTGCAACTACTTCTATGACGAACACCACCACCACCACTATTACAACAACACAACAACCACAAACAAATCTATTTCAACCACCACTACTACTACAACTACTACTTCTACCACGACCACACACTTTTACAAATACTTGTACTACTACTATCACCACCACTACTACTACTACTATCACCACTACTACTACTACTACTACTACTACTGCTACTACTGCTACAACCACAATTACTACTACTACTACTACTACTACTACTACAACATCCACAATTCATCCGTGAAGAATAATTCTTCAGCAACCCATGCTTGCCGTAAAAGGTGACTATGCTTGTCGTAGGAGGCGACTAACGGGATCGGGTGGTCAGGCTCGCTGACTTGCTTGATACATGTCATCGTATCCCAATTCAGTGGATTGATCCTCATGAAGTCACTGGATTGCCTTGTCCAGACTCGATTATTTACAGACCGCCGTCATAATAGTACTATAAAGCTAGAATTTTGCTGAGTGCGGCGTTAAACAACAAACAAACAAAAAAACATCCACAATTACTACTACTACTACTACTACCACAACAGACCCGTGAAGATTCCGGGGTAGAATAGGTCTTCAGCAACCCATGCTTGCCGTAAAAGGCGACTAACGGGATCTGGTGGTGAGGCTTGCTGACTTGGTTGATGCATGACTGACTAGGTTGATTGCGTGAATTGATGCTCATGATGTCAATAACTGGATTATCTGGTCCAGACTCGATTATTTACAGACCGCTGTCATATAGCTGGAATATTTCTGAGTGCGTTGTTAAACAACGAACAAACAAACAAACTTCCACAGTAACTACTACTACTACTACTACGACTACGACTACGACTACTACCACAATTACTACTACTTCAATCACTACAGCCACTACTACTACAACTACAATTGCTACTACTACTACTACTACAACCATAATTACTTCTACCACCGCCACCACCACCACTACTACTACTACTTCTACCACTACAACCAATACTACTAGTAGTAACACTACTATCATCACTACTACTACAACCACAATAACTACTACTAGTCACTACAACTACCACTACTACTACATCCACCACCACCACTACTTCTAGAGCCACTACATCTACTACTCCCAGTTACAATGAACGCCCACCAGCTGCCACTTCTGACAATATGGACCCCATTAAGTCCAAGCAACGACTAAGCATGTTTGTGTCAAGAAGACGCATTGCTGCCAAGAATAGACTTCACAACAACCTTTAGGTCACTAGTCAGTACTGATACTGTCTGCCTTGACACTAATGATTATGTGGGGAAAAGTTCAGGGAGAGGGGTCTTAGTTTACTGGTACACCAGGTCCCTGAGCTTTTGATCCTCGGTCCTTTAGCATCTTGTGAGGACCTTTAATCTTCAGCCAACCTTGCGTGATTGTCAGAACCTGCTCCTGTGATAAATTGCCATCGAAGCGTGTTATGGATGAGACTATTTGATTAAGCTTGATTAACCAATTAAAGTGACTGTTTATTTACAAGGCATGTACAGAATCTTCTAAGATGGTAATAGTGAGTGAGTGAGTTGGGTTTAACGCCGCTTTTAACAGTATTCCAGTTATATCACGGCGTGTCAGCTTAATGTGGGAGGAAAGCCCTAAGCGATGCAGGTCTCAGACGTTCACCACTTCGGTGAAACCAACGAGCACGGGTATGGTGCTGACAAACCTAGAAACATAATCGGGGCGAACCGGGATTCGAACCAACAATCATAGGTTTCTGGCGTACCCAAGGGACGCAACTCTGCACAGCGAATCGCGGCGCCTCAGCCAACTGGGCCACCCGTGCCCCCTCTAAGATGGTAATAATTATTTTCATAATCTTATGATATTATCAAGTGCTGATTCAGATTTTTTAAAGTGTGTGTGTATGTTTTTGTGACAACGTGTGTGTGTGTGTGTGTGTGCGTATGCGTGTGTATACAATTTACAGAACGCCGTCATATAGCTGGAATATTGCTGAGTGTGGCGTGTGTGCATGTGTGTGTGTCTGTGCATGTGTGTATAAACGTGTGTACATGTGTCTGTATGTACGTGTGTGCATGTGTATGCACGTGTGTGCATATATGTTTGTGTATATACGTGTGTGCATGTGTATGCACGTGTGTGTGTGTGTGTGCACTTAAAATACAAAAATGCTTACACACAATTGGTTGCCCAAATATAGATACATTTTATTACTTTTGTTGAAAACATGTCACAAAACGACAATATGCTTGGTATGTTTCAAAAAGATTGGGTACACATACATGCACACTCACTCACACCCTCTACACCTGCATATGCCCTTTTCGTTTTAACTCGGGAGAGACTGAGGTCCACTTTTTGATTGATTGTAACAAGTATGATGACTTACGTTATGATGTTAAGAGTGCTATGAGTGAATGTATGCCAGATTTCTTAAACTTATCTTCAACTGAGATATCACACGACTCAGATGTGAAAACGGGTGTTATACTCTTTGTAAATTATTGAACAAATGTTCCAACGGCGCTAGACACGCAGTTAATCTTTTGTGCTCTTTTCAAGATGTAAGTATGCTTGGGAATAAAAAAATCTGCTTGTGATTAACATATATGTTTTGTTAGTTTTGAGTGGCGGTTAGGATGAATGCACTTCTGTTGGGTCTTTTGATTTTTTTATTTATTGTGTGTGTGTGTGTGCGTGTGTGTGTGTGTGTGTGAGTGACATTTCCTAACTTATCATTAAACATTGTGTAGATACATGTATTAATTTATCATATTCTGTTGTATGACTTCATACATACATACATACATACATACATACATACATACAAACATACATACAAACTCTCTCTCTCTCATTTCAAGGATGCTTCAATAACATCTCTGTCAACTGACACGTCAACTAAAAACAGGACATGTCTAAAAGATAATAACATGATTTATTTCAGTTTAAATATCTATTTCATCATATAATTAGTACAGTAAGAAAGTAAGTATCTTATAATCTGTACTCTCAACTAATCTGATAAAACAAACAACTGAAAATTCATCTAGGAAATAGTAAGTCAGTCATAAACCATTTCCCTATAACAGAATTACTAAACACATACATAACAAGAAAACAGTGTTATCACTATTCCCCGCCACGGGGCACATTAGAATTTTGTTTGTTCATATAGTAGTGAATATAAACTTTATAGTCATATAAAGCCTGACAAAGAGATAGGCACTTGGGCAGCTTTATGTTATCAGAAAAAAATATTTAAATGTGATTAATACACACAAATGGCCCCTCAGGAAAAAATAACTCAGTATGAATAAGTATCTCTTAGACAAGCTAACGTCAGTAGTTTCTGAGAAAACCCCATTACTGACATGCACCAAGTAAAGTAACATGGATCAAAGGCCCTATGGGACCAACTTTCGAACTCAGTCTTGGCAAGTATTTCTAAGAAAAGCATGAAAACATTCATTCATGTAACTTCAGCAGTTTCTGAGAAAACTTGTCCCTATTGTACACACTATGCACAAAGTAAAAGAATATAGATCAAGGGCAGTAACTTTTGAAAACAAAAACTGAGTTTTCTTATTTCCCGCATCTTATGAAGAGGACTGTGATCAATGCTTGACAAGTGGCATTATATTAAAAAGCCGAGTTCAGTGGATGCCCGCTTATTGGTGGTCTTGGAGGAGAACAAATTAAGTACTCTATTTATTTCTGTATAATGGAGGAGCAACTACCAGCTAACGCTTTGATCAGAGCCAATCAGAAAGGTTCCCTTACTCATAGCTCCGGGGGCATGGATGCCCCAGTCGTCTAAGGCCCCACGATTCGCTGTGCAGAGTTGCGTCCCTTGGGCACGCAAGAAACCTATGATTGTGGGTTCGAATCCCGGTTCGCCCCAATTCTGTTTCAAGGTTTGTCAGCACTATACCCGTATTTTGGGGTTTTACCAAAGTGGTAAATGTCTGAGACCTCCATTACTTCAGGTTTCCTCCCACACTAAGCTGACACGTTGGATTTAACTGTCATGCTGTTCAAAGTAGGGTGAACCCAACTCACTCACTCACTAAACACAGAATCTTCTTGAGTGTAATGACATCTCCATTCTTATTTGTCTCCATCAATAAGAAGACCATATCTGTACCAGTCTCCCTTGGTCAGTGTTGTACTGAGGTCTGTTTTCAAGTACTGATCCACTGGCCCCCAACTCCAAGTCCAGCGTTACGTCTGCCAAGCCTGCAACACTGTGAGAAATAACTCCTGCGTAGCACCATCCTATGTGTTTCTGATGCTAAGAGACTGGCCAGTGAAATGTCTTGGCTTAGATGCCGATTCCTGGGTTGACAACATCACCATGGCAACGGTCACCCAAGGTCCCACAACTCCTCATTGAGGGGGTCGTCGTTGTCTAGAAAGTTGTGACACAGGTCGTCAAACTGTCCCCTCTCATCCTCCTCCCACATGCATTCTCCTACCTCATCTCCTGCCGGCTTGAAATTACCTGTAACAGTTTAGCACATCCATACAGACAAGGGGAGTGCTCACTATGGAAAAAAACAGGAAGTAGTTAAATGGTCAATTCCGAATGTAAATAAAAAAGGCTGCACAATGATATTGTTGTGGATAAGTTAAACAGACTGTCGTTCTGTGCGCCATAGCATCTACACCCACAAGTGAGTTCATCAAAGGAATATTTGTGTTCTGTGTGATTTATTTATTGTAAAAATAAAAAAATGTCTTATTCCAGGCAGTAAAGAAATGAAGCTGATTTGTTTTAGAAAGCTGACATCTGATTGGTTTAAGAACCTGCACATCCTTCAGTGAGATGGGGTGATCAAAGTTCACTTGAGTTCACCTGACACCATCTTGCCGAGGCAAGGGAGTTAACTGACTTTAAAAGTCCAGTTTCCACCCTTGCCGAACTAGGCTTGTCAGAGACCTGTGAAGATCCGGGGTAGAATAGGTCTTCAGCAACCCATGCTTGTCGTAAAAGGCGACTAAAGGGGTCCGGTGGTCAGGCTCGCTGACTTGGTTGATGCATGTCATCGATCCCAGTTGCGTGGATCGATGTTCATGATGTAAATCACTGGATTGTCTGGTCCAGACTCCAGAGTGCGCGGAAAAACAACAAACAAACAAACAAAAAAACTTGTCAGACCTTCATGCAAAGACGTATCACATTATAGTGAAAGATTTGACAATAATGAGATTGGTGTGTGACCGCAAGTATTTTTTACATGGCATGACACCTACAGCTTTCTTAGTATTACAAGAAACGAGAATATCATGTTCATTTCTGCACCATATTTGATGACATTTGGTTAGAGATTCATTCAAACGTGTACAATTTCCATTATTTATTGATTAGAACAGACTTTGAAAGGCATAACAAATTCCACACTGCCATGCACCATTT